TTTTTTTATATTTGTTGCCATTTCACATAGAATTGCATTATATAAACCTTCTCACATACATGTCTACATCAAAAGTCACAAACTGTTACAAAACAGTATAATGTTAATTTAATTATTATTTTTATTGCAAATCAGAAAATTTAAGTCCTGAAAACTCTTTAAAATATCATCAGATAAAACATGATAAAAGTGATGTTTTATAGGTGCAGGTTTCTATCACCATTTTGTGCTGGACACATACCTTAATTCTCTGTTATAAATATATATATGTGTAACATTATTATTAATTATACTTTGTATGACTATGTGCTCTTCGGGAAAATACAATGTCTTGGACTTGCATTCTTTAAATGGATGCAATGCTAAGAGTGGCAAAATTATCATGAAATTTTTAAAATCTGTACAATTAAGTTGTTTTGTTTTTTTTCTATAATCATGGTTAGATTTGGCGAAAGGGAGTAATAATATCAGTAAATTTAAATCATAAAATTAAAAATGCTTGGAAGGGATTAAATTTTGCTAATTTCTTGAATTTAAGAAAAATACATGTTTGCTAAGAATTTAAGTATTACATGAATTTAAAAGAAATACAAAAGGATATATATTTGATATATTTGCATATACCAATAAGTCCAAACCAATTCCCCCCCCCCCCTAAATATTGGCTTCTTGAAAATCAGAATATATAGTAATAAGACGGGCAAGGAAAATAGGGCAAATAACATAATCATGGATTAGAAATTTCTTTGCTAATAAAGAAAGAACTTCAAAATGTTACAATACAGTGACAAACAAATTTATATAAATGAAGCCAAAAAACAAAACAGAACAAACAAAATACTGTACTATGATAAATTAAAAAAACTTATTTTCAAGAACTTCATTGAAAAAGTTGATAAAATTATGTTCAGAAATAGGAATAAGAAAAACTGTGAAAAATATCAAAATGAATCAGGCTTTGTTTTGGGTTTAACAATAAAATTTGTTTTAAAACACATTTTACATTAATCTTTTTTACAAACAAAATTTTTTTTCAAAGACTTATATAAATATATGAACGCGTCATGAAAAACCAACATAGTGCGTTTGCGACCAGCATGTAAATTCCAGACCAGCCTTTGCCCATTACCAGCGGCAGCTTCTGATCAGGATCCATACTGTTCGCTATTAGTTGCTCTACTTTTTGGAGGGTTGGTAAGCGAAAAAGCACAAAACCCTGTTTCAGCCCTGCGCGGCTTTCCCGAAGGCTGGTCGGGACCCAATGCTGGTCCCCCAAACCCCACTATTTTTGGTTTTGTAAATTGGCGCAGCTCAAAATGTTTATTTTTTCCCATCCCCTCTTAAAAGATATTTTTGTGCCCAGCAAGTCTCTTTATAAACATGTCTCGTTGCTCGCTGAGTGGGAGGGGCTGCACCCTTTCTTTTTGCCTGCTCCCTTACCCAACCGTCTCAATTTTGGGGTTTTTTCCCCTAAAAAGGTCGGTTTAGTTTTCTCAAACAGTAAGTCCTTTTTTTTGGCGAGTCTAGGTACCCCCTTTTTGGGGAAAACCCTTTGTATCCTAAAAAAAACAGGAAATACATTGGTCACCCATACCGTGCTTTATATTTTATAACATCATCCATAATATTTGTGTGTTTATTTGTTTCGTTTTAATTCTATTTTAACACATTTGTTTTATCATATCTCGATAGATGGTCAACCTAATATGCTTTCCTGGACTACATACCAGTAACAACAAATTCTTTGCAAATGACTATTAATCTAACATGATTTCTGAATCAGAAGTGAGAGACAAATGACCAACAGACTCGATGTACGAGATCATTTGTCGTTGAGAAATTTTCTCTCGCCTGAGGATCAAACCTGTGACCCCTGGATAATTAATACCATACTCTTCATATTAAGGTAAGCAACTTTTTCTTCTCACCAGGCAAGCTAAGTGTATCATTAACCTAAAATTATTTTCATTTTTTCAGCATCTGTTATCGTTTTTTTTTTTCAACTGCAACTTACCTGTCTAAATTTACGAACTAAATCACGGAGCTGCGAGGCATGTTTAGCTGCACATTGTCCGTCCATCTCTACTTCAATTAATTTCTTCATCACCTTCTCACGTTCACGATTTAACAAGTCAGCCTCAGTTCTGCAGAGGAAAAAAAATGTTAGCACTTTCTTTAATGGATTTTTCTAGTTAATGATCTATATGGACCACAAAAAAAATGCACATCAACTTAATTAAAGTTCCAGATTTCCAGACTGAAGGCTAAGTGCTATTGTTTTCTTACATCTCAGACAGGATTATCTACTGTTTACACTGGTGCTAGAAAACTCTGTAAGACAAGTCGCTTGCTTTAAATGACGTCATTGACGCGCGACTAAATAAATATATGCAAAAGTGTGGAAATTAATTAAATAAGTTCAAGGAACATTATAGTAATTAATGTTTACTCTTATGTGGTGTAAATTTTCTTCTATGTTTGGGTCATATAAGTTAAAACAAGTCATCTTAAAATCCTTCAATGCATGCCTCCCTTCAAAGTCATAAATACGCAATATGTAGCACAGTAAACGTTTATAAATAATTTTTATCTAACTTGTACTTTACATTTAGATAAGACAAACAAATTATCTATAAAATCGTATTCTGGATGCATACAGCTTTTTAATGCATCACAATGTAAAATTAATGATTAATGGCTGATACATATTATATCAAATTAATAAAAATCATTTCGTATAAAAATTTATAAACTCACCTCACAGCATCAGCCTCGTCCCTAAGAATGCCCATACTTTGTTTAAGAAGTCTATTTTCTCGTGAACTGTGCGTCAATTCGTCCCTGTAGTCGTCTAGTTCACGCTCTTGCTCCTCGAGGATACGCCGGGATGTGTTCAATTCGTCTTCCTGACGCTCGTTTTCGCGTAGTGTCCGCTGTAACTCAACCTGTAATTTAAGAAATATAAAATTAAAACCTTCAACCATAATTATCAGAAGAGAACGAGAAATAAAACAAAGAAAAACAATTTTATTTTTTTCTCGAGGCTTAGACATTAAATGCTAAACACATAAGAATTTTTCATTCCCTTTATATCTATAGATAAACAAAGATTTCAGAATTAACCCAAAGAATCCAAATTGAAAAGCAAAAAAATCATGTTATGCAATTTTACCATATCAAGTCCCATATTTCAGAACCACAGAACCATATACCTTTAAAATGTAAGTTTTTAACAAAGACTGCAACTCATGTGTTAATAAAAACTACAAAAAAATTATCACTTCAAAAACAGACATCGATTTAAAAAGATATAACCCAAATAAACCGAAAAGTATGAAATATACTAAATTTTTTTTTTCTTAATCATGCTTAAGAGAAATAAATCATACTGGTTGAAATACTGCTCATCACTTTTAAGAAATAAATTAAAATAAATGTGCCTAAATCAATGATTTTCTTAATTTTACATTATGCCAATAAATAATAAACAATGAACAGGAAATTATGTCAGCGTCACATGACGTCAATAAAGATGACGTCAAAACATTACAAACAGTTTGGCGTAATAATTACAGCCAGGATCAATTTGATGCATTATACTATTGAAGAAAGCAATTAATGTGCAAAATATTAAACCTCTTCCTGGATTATTATATTACTTGGATAATTTATCACCAAATGGAATATAATTTTCCAAAGTTCTGTTCAAAGGTCTCTCTATATTCTGTCAATTACTTAAACGTATTTTGTATAATATCGTAGTCAGTTTTGCTAGTGTTTTCATATTTGTAGACACAAATGGCAAATTTTATATTAATCAGATAATAATCCTTAATACTGCTAAAAATTTAAAATTTCAAAATATCTAAAGGTACTGATTACCGAATGACTGTGTATTCCTAATTTACTAAAGTTTCATACAGGATTGAAAAATATATTAAAGGCCCATTATGCCTCAATAATCTTCTAGCATACTTAGCATCCCAATTCTCTAAAACCATTATTTTATCATCATAAAATCTATGTTAAGAAGTAAAAATATATTTGTTTCTGAGGCATAATATGCCTTTAAAGGCAGAGTAAGATACCGCCTAGGCGCCCAAACCCATAATGTTAGTACAAATATTCTTCAATTGAAACTCTTTTAAATTAAAAATATTCAATAACTTTAATGAATGATTTACTAATTTATTCATCTCTGACAAAAGAATAAATCATACAAATATAGCTAAAAATTTTTTCCTAACAATATTAAAACTACATGTGTATATATATAGAGAGAGACAGTTAAGATAGAAGTATAGGAAAAAAAATAAATCTAGCAAAAGCAAAACCAAAGCAATCAAAGCAATGATAATGTTAGATATATTAGTGTAAAATCTGTGCGCTTTACATAATTCAAGTTATTTTTTTGCAGCATTTAGTTACACACAGTGTACCCCATATGTGTAATGTGTAATACATGTATGTAAATTCTAAGACCACTCAAGAACATTAACACAGCATTATGCATAATACTTTATAGATGAAGTTTTAAGGGAGATCAAAAGATCCAAGTGACTACCCAAAAGAAACAAAATTATCCCTAAAGAAACAAAATTATCCCTAAAGAAACAAAAATATCCTCAAAGAAACAAAAATCAAACATTTACAATCTACCAATTTTTTCTAAGAACCAGATAAGCACATCAGAATAAAACAAAATGGTGATAAATCAAAACACAATTAAATTTAAAACTAAATTATTATTTCACCTTTTTTTTTTCATGATGGACTAGCCCAGTTTTCAATTTGGGACTGGTTTTAAAGGGGTTTTGATATTAACTTAACTGCTGAATTCCAGCTGGCAACAGAAGAGTTTCAGGTCAGAAAGCATGGACCAGCAGGCTTACATAAGCCTGGCACCATGGACAAAACATAAGCCCATTATATGAAAGCATTTTAAGTGTTATGGTTAAAGCTAAGAACCACAGATGAGTTATTACATTGCTGCTAATAAAATGTTTGTTAAAATAAACATTCATCAAATATGTTTGAGTTTCTCTGCTTGCAAAAAAACCCAAACAATTCCTAATGCAAAAATATAACTTGGGGTTTGATTGTATTGAAAGAATATACAATTTTGGAAATCTACAATTATTAGGTATATATTGTCAAAGCATAGGGAGAAGCTATTATGCTTTAAATAATTTAATATAATTCTTTTAAGAGGGAGAATACATTATAATTAAAGGTATAATCTATGATTACATCACAGCATTTTATGACTGATATTATACATTTTTAATATATTTTGAGTACCTCATTTTTGAGGGTTCCCACTTCACTCATGAGGTTTTCAATTTTATTTTCATATGTTCGCATCTCGCTATGAACTCGGTCTTCCTCGTCCGTGCTCAGGTCTTCCATGCGGAGAGCGTCCCGCGGGGTGTGGATCTCAAGTCTGTGGGTGGGGCCCTGTATGTGATAACAGTCATTCTCTAAGATTCTGTTAAAAACTTTCCTCGACAACATTATTTAAAAAAAAATAAATATTAGCTAGAAATTTTCAAATAAACACCTTAAGTAAACCAAGGAGACTACAAAGTTACTAGTTTAATTTAATAGTTTTAAACTTGTGTAATATTCCTCTGCACCATAATGAAAAAAAATGTTAAAAAGGAAAATATACTTGTAATGGAATACCTTAACCATATAATTATCAAGAAAATCAATCCATTTATCAAACAAGAGGGCCATGATGGCCCTGAGGTCGCTCACCTGTATATAGCCCCCCCCCCACACACACCCATAAGAAGATGTTTCATGCTAAACATCTAAGCTCTAGCTCATTGGGCTTTTCAACAAGAGCTGTCCGTAAGACAGCGCGCTCGACTTTTTTATTGCTTGCCAATAAAAAAAGTTTTTGCAGTAAAAGGCAATACAAGAATCTCTGTATTTTTAAAGTGAACTAGTTGTTTGATACCCTTGAATATTACAGCAATGTTTATATGACATAATTTATGGTAAAGTGAACAAGTGGATAGGAATGAATTTTTTTAGATTTTTTAAGTTTTTTAGTGCTTGCCTATAATACAAAACATTGACAGTTAAGGGCCATAATTCAAATAAAATCTTTGACAGAATTACCTTCTCCTGGACATGTTTGGGAATCATGATTGTAAACAAGTATTCCAACTTTCAAATTAATATCTCAAACAGTTCAGTCAAAAAGTGGACTGGTACTAAAAACTTAACCAAGATTCTAAGTCGATAAAAGGCCTTAATTTTTAAAACAAATCCTTGACAGAGTTACCTTCTCTTGCGTACAGATGGGGGTAATGATGTGAAATAGCATTAAAAGTTTCAAAGCAATATCTCAAAGGGTTAAGGCAATAAGTGGATTTTACCCATATTCAATGTATTTTCTAAGTCAAAAAGGGGCATAATTCTGTCAAAAACCTTGACAGAGTTATGTCCTCTTGTCTGTTGATGAAGGTCGTGATGGTAAACAAGTATGGACAGTTTCAAAGCAATACCTCCAATGGTTTTGAAATAAAGTGAGGTGGTACAAAAAACTTAACCAAGCTCAATACACTTTCTAAGTCAAAAAAGGGCCATAATTCTGTCAAAAACCTTGACAGAGTTATGTACTCTTGTCTGTAGATGGAGGTTATGATGGTGAACAAGTATGGTAAGTTTCAAAGCCATACTTGTAATACTTCTGAAATAAAGTGGGGTGGTACGAAAAACTTAACCAAGGTGTGACGCCGACGCCGGGGCGAGTAGGATAGCTCCCCTTTTCATAGAAAAGTCGAGCTAAAAAGAAGATTTTTTTAAAGTTTTTACTATACACATATAGTTAAAAACAATGACACCCCTGGGGCGGGGCCAGTTTTGACCCCTGGGCTTTTATTTGAACAAACTTTGTAGACACTAACTAGAAGATGTTTCATGCTTAATATCTAAACTCTAGCTGTTTGGGTTTTTTCAAAGAAGATTTTAAGTTTTTGCTATACACATATAAGGAAAATCAATGACCCCCAGGGCGGGGCCAATTTTGACCCCAGGGCTTTTATTTGAACAAACTTTGTAGACACTCACTAGAAGATGTTTCATGCTTAATATCTAAACTCTAGCTATTTGGGTTTTTTCAAAGAAGATTTTTTAAGTTTTTGCTATACACATATAAGGAAAATCAATGACCCCCGGAGCGGGGCCAATTTTGACCCCAGGGCTTTTATTTGAACAAACTTGGTAGACACCTATTAGAACATGTTTGATGCTAAATATCTTAGCTCTAGCTCTTTGAGTTCTTTAAAAGAAGATTTTTTAAGTTTTTTACTATATGCATATAGGGAAAATCAATGACCCCCTGGGGCGGGGCCAATTTTGACCCCAGGGCTTTTATTTGAACAAACTTGGTAGACACTCACTAGAAGATGTTTCATGCCAAATATCTAAGCTCTAGCTCTTAGGGTTTTTTAAAAGAAGATATTTAAAGTTTTTTCTTTCGGTTGCCATGGCAACCAGAGTTCTGCATGGAATTAAATTCTTTGAACAATTTTTAAAGGTGACCACCAAAGGAACATTCCTGTGAAGTTTGGATGAAATTGGCCAAGTGGTTTATGAGGAGATGTCATTTAAAGTAAAAGTTTAAGGACGACGGACGGACGACGGCCGGACGCCGGACGAAAAGCTATCAAAAAAGCTCACCCTGTCACTTTGTGACAGGTGAGCTAAAAAAAAATTGTAATCAAATCCCAATTTTGTTAGATGTACAGTATGTTATGGTAACATGTAGTTTTGTCAAATTGTACAAATATGTAATTACCATCTTTTTTTGTTCTTCCCTCAAAATTATGAATTACTTAAAAGCCAATTTAAAGCTGATTATATAAATACCAGTAAGCTTATATTTTAATTTACGACATATTTTGTCATCAAAATGCATTTTTTTCTAAGTTTGGGTGTGCATGATTGTGGATGTCTGCGTCTTGATATAGGATGTGTGCTCCTTATGTGTGAGTATCATGTGTAATGGTAAAGCCATTTTTATATAAAATTTTTAACAACAAATTATACAGAAATGCAGTTTTAAATTTTTCTAAATTTTTGTGCAAATAATTTTTTTAGATAAATCATGCAGGGTATAAAAATCATAAATACCTAAATTAAAGTTTACAAATTCTCTCTTTATGAATTATGTACCTTATTTGGAAAATTCACACATTAATTTAGTGTTAAACAAATTTTGTTTTCATTTCAAATATAATCGTAATTTTTTTTACTCTAAGCAAGCATAAATGATAATATTCATGCATATGTGAATATATAATGCCCATCATCAATAAGCATAATAGTAGTAAGTTAAATAAAGCATAATTTGGAGTGAAAAATCAAATTTGGTCCTAGGCTTTGAACGGGTCTAAAATGGCTTCTGCAGATGTTAATGCATGGTGAAATGGCATTAACCCTCTATTGTTTAAATAAATATAATAAACAAACTAGCAAAATGAACACAACATTTTTGTAACCAATTCAAACATAAACATAATTGAATTAAATAAACAATCCAATAATAAATATATTGTCAAAAACATAAAACCATGCATTAGCTTGGATATCAATAGTAAGTGCTCGCCAATTTTTTGAAGCCAATCACCGACGAGGATTTTTCAAATTTTCAGGTTTCAAATCTTAATAGAACAGATTTTATATAAACTGGACGTTTTATATTATAAAACGCAAGTGGGCGGACCACTAAGCCGGTTAGAGTGCATATTGGATGTTCTTCGTAAATAAGAAAGCTACAGTCGCTTCGCAAGCTCCGCTCCTTTTTAGCTTTCTTATTTACGAAGAACACCCAATATGCACTCTAACCTATACGTGACCTTTCCTTTTAACTAAAAAAAAAAGTAATAAAACAAAATAAAGAACAACTTTTTTTTAAATTCTCTGGTTGTTGAATAAAATCATATACTCTGGTGGCCGTTGTAACAGACAGGAATAATCTGGCTTGAGGAATGGTTCAGGTAGTTTCCACGTCACATTTACCAGAGATTTACCATTTTCCTCTCTGTAATGACTCATTGCCAGTTTAATTTTCTTGAATATTACATACATTGTTGAATCCAAAATTGTAGAGAAATTTTAAAAAAAAACTAATAATCTTTATTGTCTTGTATATTTAATTAGTAGTATGTGTACAAATCATAACAGTGAAATAATATCATCATAAACTGTGATGCAATTTCATTGTAATGATGTCAATTTAAAGCACTTGATTTGCGATACGACTAGCTTTTTTATCATTAATGTAAATATTAGAAAATCCAGTCTTATATTATAAAATATGGTGTGAACTTTTACAGCCAAGCCACCAGGCTGTTCAGGGTATACAGGTACTAACATAGGGAAATCGATTCCCTAAACACTAGGGAAAGTACGATCCTTAGTCAATTCAAAAGGAGGGAGATTCTTGCATGTAGAATTAATTTTTAGAGTAGCCAGAAAAAAATGTATCAATCATGAGTGATTGTAAACAATTTTTTATCAACCATGGCTCAGTGTTGAGAACCCGGTAGTAAGTTCTGCAGTGGCCACTAATTTCGCCCGCCACTGCGAGGCTTGTGGACTCTTCAGCATGGAGGTAGCATACTCTTAGTGCTAAAAAGACAGATCTCCAGACTTATCGCAGTATTTGAATAGCAATTTCAAGTTCTAATGCCAAACCAACATATAATTAAATTAGCCTATAGAGTAAATATCGAACTTAAACAAATGCAACTTTTAAACTCTTTCATACCGTCTGTGCTATAGATTCAACTTCCGGTACCTAAATGTTCAGAAAACAACAATAGCGTTTACATTTGATCAATTTATTTTTCTACAAAATAATGAAGAATAAAACGAAACAAAAAAACAAGGAAAATAATGAATGTTTTAGAATTATTTTGAATATTAAATTTTCTGATAAAAATTATTTTTTTGTGGGTAAAATAAATTAATGCTTGGTTTGTACTGAAAAATTACGGTGATTGTAGAATGTGTTTATGTAAAGTAACAATATTGTTTGTAAAAACAGTGCACTGTTATCATTTTGAAAACTGATGGTGATCAAGAGTCGAGAGTTTATAAATACACCTCAAGACTCTTCTGTATGAAGAAATACAAAATTAATGTATTAAAAAATTAATATTATAAACCGTACATGTCAAGTGTTTAGCAAATTTCATTTTACTTCTATTATATATATATTCTCTGAAAAAAAAATCTTAAGAAATTAGTGACAGTCTTGCAAAGATCTTTTGCTTGCATAGCTTAAGCATGGTTTGTAGGAAAATCAAATTCAGATTGTTTTCCCAGGCAAAATTTTTTATGATGTCTTATAAAAAACAAAACAAAGATGCCAATAATCTTAAGTCTTTACTGAGTACTTGATAATAAATTATTCATAATAATTATAATTCTCATCACAACTGTCATGTTGTGAATTATAGGGATAACTATTGGCCAAGAGAAGTGAAGTTTATTGCACACTGGAGAGATACCTCTCATTTATATTGCATAAAGCAACATCTGTTCCTAAACACCTGTTAATTTTGTTGCCTCAAATACCTGATGGTAGCCTGAGAATCAATATTTCTCAGCCAATACTGTGGACAAACTTACACTCAAGATTAATTTTTTCAAGAGAATTCCAAGTCAATATAGCAGTACCTCATGGGTTTTATGTATTCCATCTATAGCAATTTTTCCCCAAGGCATTTGTTTTATTTAGCTACCTTATTTATTGTAAATGGTGCAATTCTAAATACTAAAAAAAACATTTAAGTAACAGAAGAAAATATGAGCAAGGCCTCGTAAATGCCTTTTGCATCAGGACATTTATGAAATATTTCAAAGGGTTGTCATATTTTTTCCAAGATGTGCCAATGAAAACAACCATCATTTGGCCAAGGATCAAGGGGGACATTATAATAGACTAATTTTATCAGCATTTCAAGCGATGATATGGATCGGCAATCTGTTAATAATAAAAATCCTGATTTTTTTAAGCAGACATATAACTCACTGTATCATCATTAATAAGCCTTTTGTGTATCACATTTGCATGAACAATTGTGCAATAAAACTTACAAATTGTGACGCTCATTATCACCTTGTGTTTCTTTTAATCTGACATGTTTTAAATGTGAACAGGCAATGCCAGTACAATATGTGAATATAAAAACATATTTTCAGCATAGCATTTGACATATGTATGCAATTTAAGTTGTGATAAGCAAATAAATTAGAATAATGGTTAACATTACAAATTGTGAGTAAAATAATTCTAGTTTGTACCATTTCAATTTTCAATTTCACCATTATATAATTATATATTACTTGACAGCTTATTAAAGTCACTTAAGAAAATCGAGTAATACAAACATAAAGAAATAAATATGATGGGAAAGTTGCGTAGCACTGTATGGGCAACATGCCTTTAAAAATCAAAGTGCAATTGGTTGTACATGCTCATATTAAAATCAATTTCAAGAAAATTATTTACCAAATCATAAATTGAAAAGCATTAAGACAGATGCAAAAGGTACTTATAGATGAATCAAAGTTCCAGAAACAGTAAACCAGCCTAAAACTCTGGTATCTCAATTCAAATTTCAGAAATTCAAAACGGACCAATCAAAATGCTCAATTTTCAGACTGGTATACAAAATCTCCAACTAGTATCAATGAAAACCAAAGTGAATAAATGATTAAGAGGGATAAAAAGGTTGATTCACGGATAATTTGTGGCTTATAAACATAATAATAATGTGCCGCGTCACAACAAAACCAACGTAATGCGTTTGCGACCAGCATGGATCCAGACCAGCCTGCACATCCGTACAGTCTGATCAGGATCCATGCTGTTCGCTTACAAACCCTATGACAAGTAGAGAAACTGACAGTGAACAGCATGGATCCTGATCAGACTGCGCGGAGGCACAGGCTGGTCTGGATCCATGCTGGTCGCAAACCCACTATGTTGGTTTTGTTGTTACGCCGCTCAATTATATTTGACCTGTACACTATGAATGATAGAGTACCACATGCACTCATGCTACATTTTGACATGCATAAACATATAGACATTATACTTTAATATACAATCTTTGTTTCCTATGTCGTCCTGTGTTGCATTTTCCCTTCGATCGACTTTTGGAAAACGGACTTGCCCACTGGCACAAAATAACAACATTAAATATAAAAGTTGAACCAAAATTAATCATCTACATGGACATTTACACAACAACTCATTACATGAAATTAATTGGTCTTTGATCTATTAAATTTCTCAACAATTAAAAAAAGACATCATTTTGTATTATTTAGTAGACTATTAAAGCAGCCATGACAGTAATGTACATTGCATTACAATTATTCCCTTTATTTATAATCTGATTACAAGTTAAATTTTATAGTCAACAATACAAAACGAATAAGATGGTATTCTTTTTTTTGTGTATGTTGAATCTTACTTTGTACTAATACAGTAGAGGTCATATGGTATATTTCCAGCTTTACAGGTGGAGGAAGATTTAAGGTGCCCCTCCATGCATTATTTCAGGCATAAGCACCAGCCTGACCATAAATTTTGGGTTAGCTAGCTGAATCCAATGTCCCTGGCGGGATTAAATTGAACCATCATGAACAGCGATTAGGAGTGCAAAAGAAATAAATATGATGGACAAGTTGTGTGACACTGTATGGGCAACATGCTAGCTGAATCCAATGTCCCTGGCAGGATTAAATTGAACAGATGATTCCACGATCAAAACAACTTAGCCATGATGGATGCCCAATGATATTGTTCATAAATCAATTATGACGCTGATCTAATTATGACCAGAAATAAATCTTTTTAGAACTTAAAAAATCAATTTCACCCTAAAAATGAATCAACAAATCTCAATTGAATGATTCAGTGGTCAAGGTTATAATTCAATTATAAGTAAAAAGTATGCTCAAAGTGTGCTGGCAAAATTTTGCAGCAAACAGTTACAAAGAGACTGTTGCCGATTTTTTTGATAACCTACTGTACTACCAGTAATCCATGGTCTCCATATCAACGGTCAATGGCCATTGGAGACCAGGGACCTTTGCTGACTGAAGACCATCAATAAGTGTGCCCCAAAAGTAACAATGTTTAAAATGTCACTGAAAAAAAGATTTTTTTGTCCTTTCCCAAACCGTTTGGATAAATCAGCAGGGAGGAGAGGGCACGGTTTATATTGACTCGTCTGTTAGTCTACCCTGGGACATCTTTAAATTTTGCAGTATCATTTTCCTTATGCCAGTTTCATTGATGAATTAATAATATGATTAAGATTTAGGGAAAAGCTAGCCAGTTACATGTACCAAGAGACACAGCCATAATTATATATAAATTTATACATAGGCAAGAAAAAAAGCTCTAAAAAATGAACAATACTTTCAAAGTTTCTAAAAGAAGAAATCTAATACTAACTAATTATAACAATTAGAAAGGTCAGAAAAGTAAGCATAATTAAACTAGTATAAAACTGTAAGAAAGTCCTCCAGACCACTGCCTATGCCTAAATTATCCAACTAAGATAATAAAACTGTTCACCCACAGAAAAAAAATAAGGAAAATAAAAAAACTTGCTTTAGAAGCAGTTTCGGAGTTATTAAACTTTATGATAAAATCAAAGAAGTTAGAAAGAAAACATGCTCTTTATTTGTCGTTTAGTTATAATAGCGACTACAATCCCACCTTGGCAACCTTTTTTGCTCGTTTCTTTAATAAAAAATAAATCACAGACACAAATAAGAGATTCACAATGTGTGTATATAAATACAAACATAAAATTATAAATAACAAAGGTAACGTATGACTACCATATGTTTGTAACTGTAATATAACATACCTATATAATATAACATACCTATATAATATACACTTTTTTTATCATTTATATACCAATTATAAAGACAAATGAACGGTTCATAACAATTCTGACTCATTTAAAACTCAACTCATTAATTACAATTGTTCTGAAGCTATAACTATTTAAAAGGAGTGCAAGTTTAACTTAAAGTAAGTCAAATGTGAAATAAAAAAATTTCAAGGCCCACTGCAAACTGAGCTAACTGGCCATTTTGAACTCTAATCTAGTAAATTGTCAACCTAAATAGTTATATATTTTCTAAGTGTACACCCTTCCGCATAATTATTTCATGTATTGTTACTAGTTATCTTAAAATAATGGTGATCAACAGCTATGGAAACAGGTGCACACACATAGGGAATGGACTCCTAAAATGTTTCCTTGTCTTAAATTGGTGACAGATGTAAATAATTTACATGTCTAGCAAAGGGTTACAATGCATACATGTTCAATTTCAACAGAATTTTGAACTTGATACGAGAATTTTTATGAAACCATTGCCCATAAATTTGAGATTACATTTTAAAGTCCATATTTAAATAAGAAAAAGTTTCTATTTTACAATGTATGTATATTTCTCCTTACTTCAAAAATCAATTACATTGTAAAAGGTGATTCAAAGTAATTTATCAAAAGATGCTATCCGGAACTCAGCAAACGTAGGTTTTTCCAGTCTAATCCCAAATTATAGCTTTACTGTTATAACTTTGATGCACAACCCTTCACTAGAAAGTTGTCACCGCCAACGCTGAGGTAATTACATTTGTGTCTATTATATTTACCAATCTGTCAATGCAAAATTTGTTCGTACACCTAAGATAAGACATGAAAAACCCATGTTTGCAGAGTTCTGATGTTACTTTGTATCTCTATTTTATTTTTATAATTTGCTGCTTTGTTCTGAACATATCCTATGATACTAAATGTATGCTATAGCAGGATTCAAGTAAACAATGCTACAATTACACGCAAGACAATTCAAACCATCTCTAAGTTTTTTAACAAAAGAAATTCTATATATAAAATACACTTTTATATCAATATATGGGACTGACACCTAGTTTAAAGTGAACTATGTTGAATTGGTGACAATTAAAGCTTCGTTTAGCAAGGAGGAAAGCACCATTCAAGTCATTAAAACATAATAAAGGGAGATAATCTACACACCTGCCAGGAGACTTTGGACCCCTTTGTTGCTTTTGCCGGTGGAGGAACCCATGGTCCTGAGGATGGGCTCTTACTTCGAGCTCTCGATGATATTGTACTCTTTGTGAACTTTTTTGTACTGGTCTGTAAAAGGTATACAAATCCTTTAATATTTATGTATAATATAATAGAATTTATAATATGAGGACTGATTTGAAATTCTTCTTTGAAAGATGTTTGATAAACTTGCAATTCTTAAATAATGAATTACCTAGCCATTACCAATGCTAAATATCTCTAATTATTAGGGAAAATCTAAACCAACTGAACAGTGTACAGTGTCAACCTCTGATCAGATAACACAGATATCCCAACCGATTCTGGTCTGAACTGGTTGCATGGGTAGAATTTGTTGCAGCCAGAAGACTTGTTAATCTTAACCTTACAATAACTTTTGTAGCTTTTAACTACATGATCTAGATCACAATAAAGTCTGAACTTTTGAGTTTTGGGTCGAGTGGCACGTATTTTAAATGATAGCCCAACATCCCCCTTATTAAGCCACTTTGGCACTCAAATGGGTCTCTGAGTATTTTATTTCTTTGTAGTCATTTTTAGGATTCAAAGAGACATGTAACAATTATAAAGGAACACTGGTAACTTACAACTCCGCCTTTTTTCTTCTTTGGCTGCTTGACATGGACGTGCACCGGAACATCGTCATCCACATGTACATGGACTGGAGATGTTGGCCGTAACCCTTTACTCCCAGGCATCTGATGAATTAAGTTTAAGATATCATAATTATTTTTAAATATCATAATATCATTTATATGAGGAGCTATATTAAACATAACAATGTAAATATTTTCCTGCCTAAGTGGTTCTATATTGATCAACACTGAACAGTAGTGCCAGAGGGATAATAATGTTAACATTCCTCATTTCCTGACTATTGCTTTTTAAGAGTTTAGAAATAAATCTGGTCATTTTTACTTGTGTACTGTAATAAGAAAGTGTTTACTAACATTCATATTTCTTAAAGCCATTGAAAAATCTTGGTAAAACAGAAAAATGTTCTCCTTTATGCTTATCCGAATACCTGTGTATTTTGAGTCGGGCGCGTTTTTGTCAAGTTGTGACAAGTTGCTGATACTGATGATAAAAATATTTTCAGCTAAATAAAAGATATATATGTTAATAATCCAATTATCCGGTTGTCTGCAAATAATATTTTACTTCACTAACGTTTCAAAATAACCAAGTGGTTAGATTCAATATATTTAGGACATCGCATTCAATATAAAAATTCTATAATTCCGTCCAGATCGATCGGTTCAGACATGTCAAATTCCTAGCGACAAAGTTCAGACCATTTTTTGCAACATTTAACGGGGTTATTGTGCGAAGAAATTGTTCTTACCTCTTCAAACTAAATAAAACCGTGTTAAAGATCCAAAATATCAATAGTGTTCATATCTTTTTCTGCAGGAATTAATGATAAAAGACCGCCGAGTACATGACAGATGCTCAACTTTTTGTTTACGTCCAGTACGGAATCCTTCAATTTCATTGGTTGTCGCTGATCCCATTTAAAGAGTATTCAAGGGAATTAACTTTGAAAAAAAAAGATATTGGGTAAATGCTGTCTGATGCCGTACTTAAATAGTACAACAAGTTGAATCATGAAGAGTTGCTAATTGACCACTCAAATGTTATTTAAAAAATTGATTGATCCGTTCGCCGTTCCGGTGCCTTGATATTATTATTACCAAATTGCATATCAGTTGTTCCAAAAATGTATGCATTTTTTTTGATGTCCCGGATACTTTATAATATATCAATAACTACATATTCTACTTATTGACATGATTTTATGTTGATCGATTTATAATCATTTTAAATTTCATATCTGTAAACAGCATAAATTTATGGAATGACTGATATATATTTATATGATGGAAAATATGGAACACTTTAAACTGACAAATTTCAATTATGTAATGTTGAAACTTGTACGATATGACATGTGTATTACTGTATTAAGTAAGGTGTGAAGTAATTAAGACAGGAGGTACAGTTGACATACAATACATACATACATACAAAAAATATAAAAATGATACTAAATATATATATATCATTTTTATATTTATGGGGGGATTGAAGGAAATTGATTTTATAGTATATATCAAGAAGTAAAACACATTTTTTTTGAAAAAATAATGCATTTGACATTTTTTAAGAGGGTTGTATAGTGGGTACGGGGGGAGTGTAGTGACCAATCAATGCGCCGAACACCTGTGGTGAGCATATTCTCATTATGAATAGAGCCTGTCACATTCTACATAGAAACGTTTCTTTTTTGATAAATAAAAACATATTTATATAAATATTTAAAGAAAATATATATCATGTTCTAGATTACCAATCTACAAGTACTTTTAAATCTTTATAAGCATAATACTTAATCAATTTAACTTTACTCATTCTCTAACAAACTTAAAGTTTTTTTTTCTGATGTAACCATTGTTTATTCTTACAATCAAAAATAATCTGAGATATGCTTGTAAATTTGTAAAATTATTGTTTATTTATACGAACTGGAGAATAAAAAGTTAAAACCAGAACATATTTCAGTATGCTCCAACATTTTCCAAAATGTCAAAAGGTAGGATCATAAAGTTCAACAAGTATAGTCTGAAAATGTGTATCTTTTTTAACATGGAGGGCACTTTTATACAGTCTTATCATATTGAAGCGAAAATTTTTATTCCTATTAGATAAATTCCATTGTCGAACTAGTCAAAAGACTACACCTGCGTTAATTCCCATGATTACGTGACGTTACACGCATTTTCTCTTATATAGGAATTAGAAAAGAGCGGTAAGGACACAAACATTTTTTATTTTTTCATTTTTAATGTATCCAAAAGAAAGTACACTGCATGTAGTATACTATCAGTTAGTAATAGTTTATTAACATACATTTACCAGTGTCTCAATGAAGCTTCAATTGACCGATGCTAGTCAGGTATTGAGATGCTGCCCAAATACATTATGTGGCCGCATGGGCGAGTGGTTAATAAGCTAAGGATGACTATATAGCCGCGTGGGTTCAAACCCGTGAGGGACAAGTCGTGTTTTCCTCAAGCAAGAAACTTTACACATCATTGCTCAGTACTGGTTGGTTCCAGGAACAGATCAGAGAGCGTGTCTATATAAGCTTATAGCATCCTCCGCAATCGAACTCCAATAAATTCTGAATCAACTAAAATACGACATTGATAATGAAGACACATATTTATAATCAATCTGTGCCAACAGTTCCGTCATATAATGAAATTTTGTCATTTTTCTTTAGTGTGCCTATCTACTATAAATCATTCATGTAAAGACTTATTTAGTTCTTTTTTTATTTTTTATCGTTTAATTACTTCCTTATGATAAAAGCAGAATGTTTTTGTTTTGTTTTTTATTTTATTAGAGTACCAAATGATTGCCACGCTATTCACTGTCTTGTTTTGTTCGTTCGGCACATGGAAAGAGTGAGTATAACTGCTTATATAACGGTTATAATTTCTTGGTTGGTAGGTGTGTATTCTTTGCTTAATAATGGTCCATCCGCCCTTTCAGGCACTGGGAATACGGACCCATGCCGGTATCAGTTATTTCAAACTCAGCTCCTTAAATACGCCCCATCATGGCATGACTTTAGCGAGACTAATATTGGCAATATTCTGAGATTAACATTTTAGATGATATAGACAGTTCAAACAGTTACAGTTACATTTTTTTTACAAGTTCGATAGTGATGAAAAATCCGTTTCCTAGATACTCTAGTACTTACTTTATATAAGTCATGACAAGTCAAGTCAAGTCAAAAGATTTATTCAGTAAGTAAAGGCCGCCGGCCCAAAATACATGTCATACAAAATATGATATAAGGGGACACATTACCTCTTCATACAAGGCCTCAAACCTAAAAGACAGAGACTCCTTGCCTTAGATTATTTACCCATGATCATGGGAGAAAAATCTGATCTCCATATTAATAAAAAATGTCAACTAGAGCTATATCCCCTTTCCTGTGTCTGTAAGAAGGGTATAATTAAATCTTTTCTAAACATTCAACTTTCATTGTATTTAATAACTAGATGAGAAATTCATTTAAATCTTAACCTGCTGAATTTATATGATGGATTTTCCCAGCTTTGAATTTAGAATTAGTCTGTTTAAATTTTATGGGATTTGATATTAAATATATTGTACAAAAGATGAGCTAAAGAACCTTCCATCCGGTCTAAGGTTGAAGAAACGATCTAAGGTTGATGAAACAATTAAATATTTTTAAATCATTTATGATAATTCATTCAAAACATCTCATTCCTTTATTAAAGTGTAATGGAAAGGGACAAGAATCTCTTGTTAGTAATAAAGATTTTGACAGGGTTTGGCCCTATATATAGACGGTTGTTTTGAAATATTACCCGAGCCGCTAGTCGATGATTATATTTCAGACAACCTTTTATATAGGGTCATATAACATGTCAGAAATATTTATAACGAATTCATAATGCAGCATCTTCTATTTGCTATTAGAGAAAAAAGTGAGATTTCTTGATAATTTTGGCAGAGTTCGTATATAAAACTAAAATCTAAAGTTCAGATATACTTATTATGTTGATCTGATTACCACCATATAATATTATATTTCGCCTTCATTATGATTCGGATTTCCTTAGCCATACATACAATAAAACCGGTTTTTACTGAAAGGCATTAGAAGAAGCATCAGAATACCCTTGTCCGTGAAAGTAAAACAATTTTTTTATTTTTGTTAGGAAAAAACGTGTTTGAAGTAATTTGAAACAAGTAAACTGAAAATAAAATTATTATCATTAGAAGCTGATCTTAATCAGATTGTATAAAACTATATAAGCGTCATGATTATCCAGTGAAAAGCATCGTTACAAATGTGCAGTATTATAAAAAATATATAATATGAATAATAAGGACATACATCGTTTCTTTTTAAAAAAAAAAAAGAGTCAGCTGTAATCCTGGCCGTCCCGTTATTCCGGACAATCAGGATGCAGCCAGAATCTTCAGTATAGCGGAAGCGAACAGAAACACAACAGCAGACGGCTACCTGTCTCTCGAAGAGATGGGGGATATCTTTCACAACTTTGATATAAACGGTAAGATTATAGTGAACCTATTATCTGAAATAAAACCAAGAGCAAGTAATTCATGTTTCACGGGAAAACATCAGCTAGTAGTTCTATGCGTATAACCGGCGTTACATCTGTTGCGGGTCAGTTTTTTTTTTTAGAAAAAGTCAGTATTAAGATTATGTTCTAAGGTTTAAGGTAGTCTTACTGTAATACTTTTCCACAAAAAACAATTCTAACATCGGACAATATCTAATATATCGGTCATTTCCTATTCACAATCTTCGGTATCCAATAATTATTAACCGTTTATGACCGGAATTTAGTCACTAGCGATGGATAAAGGATGAGTGATTGTAGATAATCTAATGCCCTAGTCTTTGAAAAAATAACGTTCCGGAAATAACTGATTTGCTACGATATTGGCCGATGTTAGAATTTTGGAAGGAAAACATTACAGTAAGACTACGTTAAAGCTTCTACTGGCATAGGTTATTTAAGTCTATTGACGCCGTTTTGTTGTTGGAATAACATAACCTTAGCACAAAGTTCAAAATTACTAAACGGTAATCTCAAAGATAAAATAAGAACTGTATCACCCGATCAATTTCATAACCAAAATGCGATGATAAAAAATTTTTCAAACAGAATCTAGTACAAGTCTACTAAAATAAACCAATATAAATGTATGTAGTAAAATCTGCTTTGGAGTTCTTTAATATGGCTGAAAGGATTGATATATTTTGTGTCGAAGAGGAAGAAACGAGGACTAATCTATGGCATTCCATGTGTTTTATCGCACATGCAGTGACTAACCAAACAAAGTCCTGCGCTCAATGTTATAAAAAAAAGTGCATGTGTATTTTGAAATCTGTCTCTCAAATCTCAGGATGTTCATTGCTCAGTGCAAATTTCGTGGCCGGTTCTGACCAGTTTATTAACTAAGATTTGTGTTTCAGCTTAAATATTTTATTACAGATCAATAACATTCTAAACACTACGTATATGACTTTAATTGTGAAAATATATTTGTTTTATATAAAGATGACCAATGTATAGACGAGACGGAGTTTATCGCACATTGGACAAACCTTAAGCTTGGGGACCTTGATGCAGCTATCCGACTGTTCCACCATGCCGACACTGACAGGGACGGATGTATCGAGAAAGATCCGGATTACTCTAGACTGTTCTATTACTTTGATAGAGATGGTATGCTTTTTGTTGCGAATGTAAAGCTTTATCTTTAAAAAGGTGTAAAAGGGATCTTGTATAATATTTTTTAATCTATAAAAGGTAACATTATGTTGCTTCTATAATCTATTCTTGAAATAGTGTAACAAACAAGATTTTTTTATTTAAAAGTAAGAAATGCTTTGACTTTTCTTTCTCTTTTGTATACTTTTATAGTATCTAAAAAGTACATCATTGGCCAATTACCTGAACCATTCTTTTCATGTGTGCTTTTTTAGTAATATTAAAGTATAGTTATAGTGAATAAGTATTTTGTATGGAAGTCAAAATACTTCTTTGTTTACAATTTGCTTCTATTATAACAAATTTCGCATTTATCGCAATTTTCAGGTAACAAACATCTAACATTTTCTGAAACAATAAAAATGTTTGCCCTTTCTAAAGAAGTAAACATTTATTTGTTTCTAAGGCATAATGTGCATGAATATTGTTCGTAAGTAGAAGCAAATGTTCCGGAATAATATATCATGCAGCTATGTTAACTTATTTCGCTATAATTTTAAGTGTGCACCATTCGCTCTTAAGGAAATTTACAAAAAATATTATCAGAAATAGGGTGATAACTATTTCTGCATTGATTTCAACCCTGCATTATTTGTTTAAGGAAATGTATTAAGCATATTTCTTTCATATACTGTACTATAGTACTAAATGCAGTATACTGGCTGATTAATTTGACTATGCTATTATCTTTTGAATATAGGAGACGGCAAGATATCCGAAACGGAATTTAAACGTGTTTGGTACGGTTTGTCGGCGTAAACTGATTTTGATATTATTGGGGAAAAAACATGCTTACAATAAATGATTTATTTATAAACAATTTTTCTTATTTTTATTTCCTCTCTACAAGAATAAATAGAAAATCTTCCTGTAACTCAAGTAATGTGTTACACACACGTACCTATAGATTAAGGACGGAACGAAGCATTGTAACGAATGAATTTCCATTACCATGAAGAACTATTTGCCCCTGTTTGCAAAGGGTTAAGTATAGTGATTATCGTAGTAGTATTTTCCCTAAACAGTTATTGTTATTGCATAAAATTGCGCACGCAGGTAAAACTTTTTCGGAATACAAAATGATTCATTGGAACGTAATACGCGCCGTTGTTTTCATCTTATTTGTTTAAAGATTTACTATGCTGAAATATGATAATTTGAAAATATTGGTCATTGCTACACAGTTTGTAGATATAAATTAAACATGTTTTGACTTCACAAAGAAGATGTGTTATACTTTAAATCATACAAACTATAAGTGGACAAACTATGAATATATAGTGTCATTAAAAAAAACTGTGGCAGTTTTTTAAGGCAGGACCAGCTTTTCAAGACCCATATAAAGGAACGCAGGTTCTCATACATACTTTGTACGTTCTTTTATTCAAATAAGACATATTCAGTAAGAATCTTATAGATTTCAATAAATTTCTGCAATAAAAATATTTTACTAAAAGATCTCAAAGATGAGCATAGTATATCTTTAATATGCGTGACTCAAAACAACTTAATGCAATGACGGTCCGGGAAGAGTAAGTCGCACTAGCACGTGGAAAGAATCGAACGAGTAATGGGTTCTTTAAATACATTTTACGAAACGCGGAATAACCAATTTGGACGTATAGTTTTACACACAGATAACATTTATGCACCTTTCTTTCGTGCACAACTGCAGCTCTAAGCCCTCTGACTCACTTTGAAAGCTCGGGCTATAAACGCCCTCGTTCTTCTACAGATGTTAATGAAGAAAAGGAGCCACTAACCAATCAACTATGAAAAGAAATCCTATATTATTCTTTGTTTTGGGGTGATTGTGTGCAACCAAAAAAGCCAAAGGTTTAAAGAGCGCTGACATCAACTTCCGGCTAAAAATTGAAATCGCGATTTCTGGGAAACAACAATGTTGAAAAAAAAATAAGATAAATAAATAAATAAATGACTAAAAAAGAACTTTATTTAAATATTAATTCCTTATACAACATTTTTTTACCATTAAGACTCGATTCAATAGAAGGCGTTCACATCTAACGGTTTGCGGCACAGAATATTCGATTCTAAGTCATGTAAGTTGCAAGGATTCGCCAGGATTACACTCTTACAACTTACTGAACGAAATAACTTTGAATTTGTAGGCACACACAATATATACACAGTTAAAATTCAGAGATACTCCTTCAGCTTTCCCTTGGATGCCGCGGCTTTCACGTCGTCTCCGCCGCCGAAAAACTTTCCGTTTATAAACACACGTGGTACCTGCAATCAACAAAATTTAAACTGTGCAAACTTATCAAATTTTTAAGTATCCCAAAAATGACATTCATTACAAAATAGAATCATATATTTCAAAGGATAATATAACACATGTTGTGGAGAACGTTTTATTAAGACAATATATGTAATTAATGTATGGCCTATTAAAGTGTCATGAGCATTTGCTATAATCTGGGGAGAAAACTGCAATTTCATCAACTTTTCATGGAATATAGCGCATGCAAACTCAAACGTATAGATGCTAGATTAGCCAATGTCTATGAGAATGACCATGGTCTGGTTGCTATCCCCAAAGAGAAATATGTGACACCTTTTTCCCGAGCATTACGTCATGGCTCCCCCTGTTTTTTGGGTAATTCACAGCAACTTAGGCTATTAAAGTTCTCCTTCTTTCCTAGGACTGTATACCACTGAAACCACCTACCCCTACTCCCTACACTTAAGCATTTCAGTGCAGCCATTGCTTGTATTGAACATGTCTCACCAAACCCCATTTTTAACATTTTTCTTTAATACTACATGTATTTAAACAATTCTTTTAAAATAACTTTCTTGAGATTTGACGCGCAGACATGTCTTCAACCCCGCGAGGGGTTTGACATTAATGGAAGATATATAAACAAAGAAACAAAGAAAAGGAAAAAACACCAATATCAACGAAACATAAGAAAAGACAAAGAGAAGGAAAAAATCGTACTGATCTAGCTCCAGTCATGTTTTCAAGTTCATCCTGAATTGCCTGACAGTTTTTCTCGCCATCTATATCCCAGAAACCGTAATCCTTTTTATCCAGACCTCCGGATTTTATATAGTCCGCAAACACATTTTTGGCCATTATGCTATAGCCACACGTACTCTTTGCTATTACCATCACCTTCTTGCTTTTTATTTTATCTTCTATGTCTTCTTTGACGCCCATTGTTGCAGTAGATTTCTTTCTGCAGTTTTGACTTCAGTATGCGCCGCTTATAGTAGTTATGAATTAAGCAAAAGTCTAATTTGGCTTATAATTGACTAAAGCCTTGGTTATCGATTTAGATTGGTTATTTAAAATGTGCGTTTAAACGGGCCAATAATCAGGACTGTTTTTATTGACAGTTCAATGTCAACATTGTCTGAAAGTGTTCAATGAGTGTATTAAGTTACCTCATGCAGTAAGCATAATACATTCATGATAATTATATAGGTTTCTTCCAATCTATCGCTTTCAATGGAAATAAATAATTAGTTCGTTATATGTACTTTGAAATATATAACTTTTTGTAACGATCAGATATTAGTCGTTTTGAGAGTGATCATCTGAGTAAATTTTGTTAATTTAGAAAGGGTGTCAACTGAGTTTTTTTTTTACTTGACGAGTCTCGAGATTTTAATACTATTTGACACATCTATACCAATAGATTGTGTGTAAAACTTCAGATCATTCTCTCATTTCCTTTTATTTCAGTTTATTTTTAAATGTAATAATGGACCTACCTAGAATCCTTTTTATTTAACCTTTTTAAATGTAAAAACTTACCTACCTAGAATGAAAAGCGTTTGTATACGCTTTTTAACTCCAATCAGGCTAAAACGACTCTAGATATTCGATTTTTAATTTAATTATGAGAATATATCTTTATTACCTTTTCATAATTTCCCATTTTTAGCTTCTCAGTTGATCTGTGTAATACTTTCAACTTAAATTATTATTTTAGGCTTTTGGATCTCAATGGAGCGCACCGCTGCTGAAAATTTTGCAGGAACTTTTTTTTTTCTCAAAAATATTTCTGTTTCAGTTCTGTTTGAGACGCATGTTCAATGCTTTATACAAACTAGTAATCGACCTGATACTTCTTAACAAGCCGATATAAAGGTCATCAATTGTCATAAACAATCATACCCACTTCATCTTAAATTCGTCAAAAAAAAAATTCAAATATTTGGGTCAAAAACAAAATAAAACAATCACATTTTCTCAAATTTCTAAAGTTTGTGCAGTAAAAGTTTGATGAAAGTTCCTAAAAAATGTTTAGCAGCCCTGCGCTCCATTGAGATTCAAAAGCTTTAAATTATAATTTAAGTTGAAATTATTACATAGATCAAATGAGAATCTAAAAATGATTTCTAAAACCACAAACGGGTGTTAGATAAATTTCCGTTTGTGGTTTTAGAAATCATTTTATTCTATTTTAGAATAACATTTAAATTTCAACATTCAAATTTTGAACTCGTATAAGATAACATAGATGGTCTTATAACAAAAACGTAGATGGTCTCACTAAGTTATGTATACTGTCTGCACATGCAATGATTCCCACGATGAAGTATGATAAAATAAAAAAAACCCGTAATCTTCGAGTTTAGTTAAAGGACGACGTTTTGGAGAAAGGTAAATATTTTATAAATTACATTATTTCTAGTTTGTTTCAGATTATTTACACTCATTGATTAGTATTGATTGGTTTCAGGAACGGATTTGAGAAAACGGGTTAGCTTCGAACACAATCGAACTAAAATAAATTCGTTTTTGTAAACTAAATAAAACTTCATTTGTATTTCTAAAAATAAGCCATATTGTGCAGGAAAATCTTTAATTTTGAAAAGTTTATATTTTCTTCTTATTTTATCTCATAAAAATCTAGAATTGAATGCTTCATTTAATTTCTATTCTATCTAACTACTTTATGTAATCAATCATTTGTAATTTTATGAATATTTTAATCTGCTGATAATATATATATGGTATTTTAAAAGCTCCGACAACTTTGGTGCTAATACGTCACCTTAGTGCAATAACTGTTTATCTCCTATTAGATTTAGAAGGACTTAACCCTTTACTGCACTATGGTGACGATTTATTATAACCCCACTGAAATACTATATAACCGATGCCATGGATGCCGGCCTAACGAGGGGTTTAAACTGAAAAATATGAATTTTAAATAGTACAACACACAGCCTATCTTCATTCTTGACATATCAACTCTGTTTTAACATGGATAAATATGCACATTCGATACCTTAATTTCAACATCCATCCAAAGGCTATTATTTAAGTGACTTCAATTTTGAAGCATGATTGGTTGTAACATCGAGAATGCGTATTTGTTCTGGCTAAACCATATGTCTTCTTTAATGAAGTATATGCGAAGGCATGATTATACGGGACTTCACTGAGTTCTTTTGACATGACAGGACTGGAAATAATTCTTTTTCGAGATTTTGTTACTCATTTATCTAGAATAATCATTTTTATTGTGGAAACATTACCTGAAAATAAAAAAAGAAGCTTTTTTAAGTCAAATCAAGCTAGGAACCACAATCAATATCAATTTTTTAATTAAATTCTGATTATATTCCTTTTTTTATCTTTTTTTTTTTATATTTTCCCACTTTAAGTGCCACGGCTGACCTACATGTATGTAAAATCTTTTTTTTTTTATGTTTCTAGGGTTTTTGAACCTCAGTGAAGTAACACGTAAGTTTTAGCTATCATTCGCTTTTCTTTTTGTGCCAGTTACGTGTTAAATTTTGAACATTTTTACTTTTCCCGTTATCTTGCAGGTTCTTTGAGGTTTCCATTTTTTCACCATATTTCTAGAATGTTAGCAAGAGTCATCGTCTTCACCACCATTCTTATTGGGACATGGACAGGGTATGTACTTTATTAACCACAGTGGTATGGCTCATTGAATGTTCACAAAATATGTGTTCGATACTGTATACTGTTATACAAGGGCAACAAGTCCCACAGGAAGACGTTCATAACCTAGTCAGAGTTTTCATCTCGTAGTTTTTAGGGGGATAGATAAAAAGTAATGCAAGATGTAGCCTATTAATTATATATCAAACTAGAGTATAAGTTCTGTTATCCCTTTTAAATGAATACATTGATTAGGCTATGTAGTCTACTTTTAATTTAAAAAAAACTACGGGGCGAAAACTCGGACTAGGTATAGACATATTCCTATGGGAGTTATTACCCTTGCCTATTTATAATTGGAATGGCCTGACTTTGGATACATTTTTTCGGCTATAAAATACATATTTTGTGAACATTTAATGGACCGCGTTATTAACCATGCCTCTTTTTGCATAGCTGCTAAATTTATAATTTTAAGTAAACCAGTCTACTGTTATAATGCTATTTTTTGAAATAGCCTTGCAAATCCTTAAAAATCCGGGGCTGGATGATAACTGGTATACATGCACAGCAGTATACCATACAACGTTTTTTCTCTCCTTTATCTATGTACTTTTTATTGTGTTTTTATCACATATCCGTGCATATATTTTGACGTGGCGTCATTTGCATTATAGAAACAGAAGGATATTAAAACGTTCTAACAATTAAAAAACTGCGCCAAATATTATCATTCAGTGTCATATATCATATTTATTTACATGTGTATGTTTTAATCACTAACTATTTAAGCGTAAGGTGTAACCCTGGCCGCCCGGATATTCAAGACTCCCACAATGCATCACGCATCTTTAGTATAGCGGAAGCGAACAGAAACACAACAGCAGACGGCTACCTTTCTCTTGAAGAGATGGGGGATATCTTTCACAACTTTGACATTAACGGTAAGTGTACTAAAGATTAAAAATAGGTACAGAATGTCATAGCACCCACACATGGCCTTGCGCCTTAAACAAGTAGACATTTAGGTGAATCTACTTTTCTTGTTGACCTCAATACAAAGCAAAAAGTTATCGCATACGATATAGGAACGTTGATACAAGACCATAAAGCAGATAATCTGATTACTGCCAGAGAACTTGTGTATATTGCCCTCAATATTGCCTCAAATAGTGCAAGGGCATAGTCATCAACGCCTAGCTCATTGACCGTCAAAAATAGGTCTAAAGGTAAAACCCAGCACACATAAACTACAAGAATTAGTATTTGTAACTGTTAAAAATAAAGTTTGAATTCTGACTCATCTGCTTGATTTATAACTGAATCTAATGGGTATTTTACCTTCGATAATTTTGGAAAAGATCATCTGCGATTACCTTTTACATTTGTACCGCTTCCGTTGGATGTTGAAAGTTTTTTTATCATTTTTGGTTTGTTTTGTTTTCGTTTTGAAAATGTAAAAAAGATCATCTCCAATCCGAATTTTTGTGTAAAGCTTTGAAATAAAAAAAAAGTCTATTTGACCAAATGGATTGCTTTTCAATGATGTTGACGAAATATGCGTTAAAACATGAAATATTGAAATAGAAATAAACCATTTGATAATTATGAATTATCATCTTTGCCTAAGAAGTGATTTGTTAAAACATAAAAAAGATTTTCTTTTATAGATAGCTTTTAGATATAGGGATTTAATTATTGAAAGATATTTTAAAGTATTTTATTTGATGACGAAGGTGACCAGTGTATAGATAAGACTGAATTCAAGACCCATTGGGACGATCTGAACCTTGGAGACGATGACGCTGCGGACAGGTTGTTTCTACATGCCGACACTGACAGAGATGGTTGCATCCAGAGAGATCCGGATTATTCCAGACTCTTCTATTACTTCGATAGGGATGGTAAGATTTATTTAGTTAATGAATTCTGATTTGTTGTTACATTGACAGTTTTAATTGATGAAATTATGATTGAGTCGATGCAAGGGAGAGGGCGAGATATGGGAAGAATGGAGGGCTTCGTCTACAGTTCACTTACAGGTTCAATCAAAGAGTAAAGATAAAATAGGAACCTTTTACAACGGACTGTCAGGCAAAATTAAAAATGTGGCAGATGCAGTTTCATGAGCGGTTTTGCAATCGGTACTAAAAAGTTCAGTACGTTTGTGTTAAACAATTTTATTTTAAATGTTATTGTAATGTAACGAATATGCTATTATTTTTCTGAATTTGACTAGGAACATTTTAGTATGAAACTACGTAAAGACTCATACCGAAAGGCACGGATCACAGGTGTAGAATTCTATGAAAGTAAGAATTACCAATAGAAGACTAGGTTTGATTGAGTCTGTTCATCTCTCAATAGCAACGACATGAACAGACCAGTCAACGACCATTCAGTAACCAGGACAAAAAAACAACAATTATCCATACTTTAATGTTAAGTTCTGCTTAAATTGGTGCTAGGGAGTGTGGACTATTGCTTGAATTCATGAGCAAGCTCATTTAAGTCAAGTTTTTTTCTTCAAAGTTGCCGTGTTAAGATTTCTTGAAATTTTAATGCTTCCAGATTATCGATTATTGATTTCTTTTATCCCTATAATTAGATGACGGAAGGATATCAGAAGAGGAATTCAAGCGTGTTTGGTTCGCCATGTCGGCATGATTTGTAACGCATTAAACTGATGTAAAATGATTACGACAATAAATATGTATGAACTGTTTTCATCTTTCAAGTTGTTTTTAGACAGTGTCTCTACATTTCTGACTCAAATTTGAAATGAAATAGTTGAATAATAAATGAAGAAAGGAAAAAACATTAGGAAACTAAATTTGGTAGTATGTAGTAAAAGGGAGCGTAAATTATATAAAAATAATCATTTGTAAAAAAAAACAACGGGATCAAACCTTAGCCTGCTGGAACCAAATGAGACTAGTCTTTGCCACCAGTATAGAGCCAGGCCAGCCTGCAGAACCGTGCAGTCAGATCAGGCTCTGTATACTCTATATACTGTTGGCTTACCAACTTCAGACCTTCATTCCAATATCCCTATAATGACAATGTATAGATGAGAAAATGGCACATTATGCCTCAGAATTTTTCCCCTTCTTTAGAAAGGTCAGACATGAGCTATATTACGTATAAATGGCTTTAGAGCATGTAAGATGCATATCACCTGAAGAATGCAGCGCTGAATATGATTTAATTTTTTTTAGCAAAATGTAAACAAGTAGTACTTTGGTTTCCATACAAATTACTTAATCACTATAAATGTACTAATTGCCAGAGTAACAGATGCAAAATAATGGTTGAGGTAATTGGCCAATAAATTTGGTAATGTTAACAGATCACTAAAAATACAAAGCTTTTGATGAATCATAATTAAACCATTTTGGGACATAATTGGCCTTGATTATGGGTAAAATCGCTTGCAATGAACGTCGTATTAAAAACCTATTATACCCCGGAAATGTTTTTATTTTTCTACAGAATTCTATCTTTGGTGTACTTTTGTAGTTTCCAAAAAGTTGGACTAATTACATGAACCATCATTTTCTTCGGTTGCTTTTTTTTGGCAATATGTACAGTTATAGTGATTTAGTATTTTGGAAGTCAAAATACTACATTTGTTATATTTGCTACTTTTCTGAGTCTTAAAAAGAAACGATCCACTTAAATTAGAGTAATGAAAGCAAATTGTGATGAATAAAAACTGCAGACTTTCATTCAGAGCATTGACTCAAAAGATATTTATTTATTTCCAACCCTAAAAGGCAATAAAATATAACAATACATAACTAACAGGCACGTGATATCAAAAACAAAATTGAAAAAAAAAATCTTGACAAAGTGTGATCCCTCGCAAGCATTAATCACAACAAAATTACATGAAAATTTCGGACTCAGTTTGATTGAGAGTGTACATGAGGGATAATCAAAAGTGCAACATCCAATAAAAAGTGCACTTGAGCGGTACTCAATTTTTTACACTCAAAAGTGTTGGAGTCAATGATCCAGAAGGACCAGAAAAATATAACAAGATTAGTAAGTATCACCAGAAAACACACAAATGAAAACAATCAATTCCATGTATATTATTACCAACACATGTAACATAAAAACATAAAAACTACCATTTACAAGAAAATTACAAACCTTATACATGTATATCGTATTTAAAATAATTAACAAAAAGCAGTACCTTCGTAATTAGATCTAGATTTACTTATACGACGAAATTTATATTTTATGTTATCTTATGACATCATAATGAAGAAAATATTGACCCTTTAAAAAGGTGTAATATGAGTATTCTTGAGTCATTTCATTTAAATATTACATCATTTAAATTTGTACGTATGTGTCATAAAGTTTAGATCTTTAAGACGTAGTCATCTTCTTCAGATAATTATGAAAGAATAAATTGCGCAACTAATTTTGTCACATTTCTGTGTGTGTTTTTTCAGAAATGACAGATCTATATTTTTAAAACGAACCGGTATCGTACAACAACTTAAATATAGCATCGTGCATATATATCAGTCTATCTTAATTGGACAAAAATGTTTCAATTTAAAATATGTTATTCCAGTAAATATTGTGTAAAACCTGATTATATAGAATCAAAGAAAGATTTGCTGGTCTATATATCAATCCTTTTTATCAGGACAATCTTCTAATGCAGATCTGTAGGTCCGATATATAACTATTGTGTCACAATCTATAAGTAAAGAATCATAACATAAATAATTTTATAAGGACAAAAGACGTATCATAAAAGAACTATATTTCTGATACATATTGTATGACAATCAAAATAAAGGAAACTACCACTTCAGTAACTACATAGATCATGCTAATAAGGTAACGTGTAATCAAACCCACGAAACTAAAAAATGTTGCAAAGTAAGGACAACCAACCCACTGATTGAATTAAGCCTATTAGGATTAACAATAATTTGATCATATATTTATTAGGATTACAAATTAGTGCCAAATATTTAAGGTATTTCACAACATATGAATTATTTTCATGGGCTTACTTGGTTGAGCAATTATTGGCGTCCGCGCCGAAGCGCGGCGCTCTTATGGAATGAGATCAGATTTTGTGAAAGGGCGACAGCAACTTCTCGAGCCTTTTAGTCGGTCATAATAAAAGCCGAAAATTCCGATCGGTATGAGGGTGCTTGATTATTAAATAAGAATGAAATGTCGCGATATGTTACAATGAATTTTCGCAATGCAAACATTTACAAATGAAATAACCTTTTCCGTCAATAAATCGCACTCTTCGGGGTTTTTTATTTATCATTTTGTAGTACACAGTCGGTTATCATGTCATGGTATGTTATTGTTGTACATGTATCCTAGAATGATCAGTTGATGACCTTAATATTCCAAAAACCTATTTATAGATATATCTTTTTATCACTCCTATCGGTAAATGCCGGTCTCTCCCGGTCTATTTTGACCAGGATTTACTAGTGACCGGCGAATAGTACCACACGTTTATTGTCCGATCTCTCCCGATTTTGGAGTAGATGTTTGATAACGTTACAATTAGAAAAAAACAACAATAGCATGTTTCATTTTATCTATATGAGATAAAAACAATAAATATGTACACGGATTTATATGTAATATAAATCCGTGATATGTACAATAATTGAGAAAAAGGTACATTTTTTATGGTATTAAAATGACATTATCAACTTTGAAACATTTTATTTAATTATTCAATTTTGTTATCCGTGTTTAGTAACGATGCCGAGGAATTATTCAAAGTTACAAATTAGATTTTATGAATTATTCAATTGATCGATAATTTAAAAAATGATAAAGAAAAATACAATGTACATGTACATGGTTTAAGAATAAACAATATTATATATTGAAAGATAAACCATAATTTACTGACTTTTTCCAGTTAAGCTTTGACTTATAATCGTCGGTCAATATGACAATTGAATTCTTAAAATTTATTTTACAATTTTAATAAAAAAGAGTAGTAAAAACTCAGTATTAAAATAGCACATAAAACACAAAAAAGAATAAAAGAAAACAATATTCATAAAATTTGTATTTTTTTTAAATTAAAATTAATAGATATTACAATTATTGTATAATAAACAATTATGCTCAACATGATCAACATGGTAATATAACCAGTGTCATATTTTTACTAACTTAAAGTGTGAACAGATACCTTAAGGGGGTCTTCGCTAATAGCGATAACATGTACATAATAAGGGACAAATGTGTGGTACGTGTTGATCATGCGTTACACATATGGATTATAAATGATTGCATACATGTATATCCGTTGCTATTAATAACCACGATCATAAAGAAATAACAAGTAATATTCTAATCTCTAGCATGCCAATCAAAGTTCATAATGAACAATGTCTTTCGTCCGCTCATTCATAAGTGGTATACATTTCTGGTAGTTTATAAGAATATCTTGTCATCATATGTGTACTAGTTCATCTTCACTTGCTGCATTTCTTGCTTGGACGCCCTTTGATGCTTTGCATCAATGCTTTTCTTGTAACATATCTGTGACGAGATTGCCATAAACAAAGCTTGCTAACAGTTTCATCGATTGCTGAACCACCTTTACTTGTTTGTCACCAGCACTTACATTTCCATTTTTCTTATTTGCTTCACATTCTCCGATAGCAATTCATGATCTTTATTATTAATAATAGTTTGATGTCAATAACCTTAAAACATTTCTCAAAGTTCACCAAATGTAGGACTATAAGCAGACGATATATATATAACAGGTTTCTGTTCGGGTCACTGCTTTTCTCTACTATACTATTCGTTGTTTTGTTATGACAAGGTTTAAATACTCTAGTATAGCTAAAAGCTGTTGCGGTAATACCCGTAGTTGAAAACATAGTTAAACACGTAACAAACAGGCAAAATAGTAAAAAATATCTATGTCAGAATTATAAATATCCACAAGGAAGAAAACAAAACAAGTAAACGAGTGGATAAATAACTAAATCTTGTTAAAGACACAAAGATTACAGTGGATATCTATATAAAATTGAGAATCATTACACACAACAGCTATCTTTTCCGGAATTTATTTATACAGGAGTTAAAGATTTTATAGGGTTTAACCAAATTTACAAAACTTAAGGAAGATGGCTAAGCTCGGGGGTTTCGTTACATTCTGTTATTTTCTTGCCCTGGTAGCAGGAATCGTTGCTCTTTTTCTACCGTTCTGGTCTTCCGTGGAGGTTGAGGTAGTTAACAAGACCGTCAGTGTGATGAAAAAGACTGAAAGCGGACTGTGGTGGAGCCGGGAGTCGTACTCTATCTCTGACCAGGCACTGAAAGACCTGAATGAGGATGACAGCTGGAAGTCAATTACAGACACTCATAAAGGTAAATGAATATATGTTCATTTGACAATCAGACAATTATAAAAAAATTATAAGTGAAATTATGTTTATTAGACACACAGATAGATTTATGAAAGTAAGTATTCCAAACATTAAAGGATAGATAGTAAAGATGAAAATGATATATGTTATATAAAGTTTGATTTTGCTGTTATAACATAACACATTCGTAAAGAGAAATGAAAATAATAATGTTTTTATTATAAAAATGAAAATATGTTTTATTATAAGACACTCAGAAACGTTTATTGGCTGTAAATTACTGAGCAACAGGTATCTAACGATCAAATACACATAATTT